CCAAACCCTCCTTCCCCCAACTCCCCCAAACCCTCCAGCCCTCCAAACACCTGTACCCCCAAACCCTCCATCCCTGCAAACTCCCCCTCCCTGGCCCAGCGCCTCCCTCCTTGTGTGGTTTGTTTTCACGCTCTGTTTTCCCCTCTCCCCGCGGGGGGCTGTTTATCACGGGGGCCCTGAGCCGTCGGCGGCTGCAGGTGCGGGGGGCTGCGGAGCGGAGCGCAACGCGGTGAATCCTAACGAGAAGTTGGGGGGGGCGGGGAGGTGAATAAATAATAGGAAATAAAAGTTCATGAAGCAGAAAATAAAAGGCAGATTATACAGATGTGGCAATTTGCAGGATCATTGCGCCTGTCCTCCTTTTAACTGCTGCATCTGGCTTTTCCACGGCCTGCACCCCCGCCCCGCTCCAGGGCACCAGCCGGGTGCTACCAGGCTGGGCCGGGCCCTGGCTGTGGTGCAGCCAGGGCAGGATAGAGGGACCCCCTGTGATGACACCGGGGACAAGGGGCCCCAGGGTCTGCGGGAGTCCAGCAGCCGCGCTAGAGACCACCCTTTAGACAGTGCCAGCCCAGCCTCAGCCGCATGGAGCATTGCAGCCCCTGCACATCACGCCCCCCCATTTCAGCTCAGCTGGGGGGGGCAGGGTGCCCATGTGCCCTGAGGTGCCATGGCGATGGCGGACAGACAACGGTGGTGCTAGAGGAGTAGGAGGCGCCCGCCAGCCATAGCGGGGTGGGTGTGGCATGGCTGGGCCAGGCAGGGTTCTCTCGGAGCAGGCTGGCCGCCGGGCTGGGAAGATGGGGCTGGAACCTGCGGCCTCCCGCACTGGGAATTCAGCCCCTTGCCCACGCATGAAGAGCTCTGCATAGATGGGCTCCGTCTCCCCAAGGCCTGGAGGACCCGGAGGGTGAGGGGGCTGCTCTTTGGAGCTCACTCGAAGCCCCCACTCCACCCATATTTGGGAATGGCATGTCCAGGTATTGAGGCACAGAGCTCTCTGGTGTCTGGGACATTTATAGCTGTGTACGGCCCGGTGCCGCGTGATATTGGACGAGTAATGCCCTGTGTGGTGGTGGAGCCCTGCTCAACAGGGCAATCATGGGTCCTGCTGCTTTAAAACCAGGGCAGGACTGGCCTCCTCCTTCTAACCACCTGGGCGTGGCCCAGCCCCCAGCACCGTGCCAGCAGCCGCAGACAGAAGGGGGCTTTGTTGGGAGGTGGGGAAGCCCAGCGGATGGAGCACAGGGCTGTACCTCAAGACCCCTGGTTCTAGTCCCGGCTCAGCCGCTGACCTGCTGGGAGACCACAGGCCAGTCGCTTCCCTCCCCGGCCTCAGTTTGCCCCCAGCTCTTGTCAAGTCTTTGGGGCAGGAACTACTTTGTGTGTGAGCACATGGGGCCCTGAGCTCGGTTCAGACCACTAATGATCCTGACCTCGTCTGCTCACCAGCCCTGGTGCTGCTGCGCTCTAGCAGCAGAATGAGCCGCTTCTGCAGGAGGCTGGAACTGCCCCCCCCCCCCCGGGCATGGCCTGGGCTGGGGGGCGCCTGCCCCTGCAGCTCTCGGGGCTGGGGGGGTTGGGTGGCTGTGCTAAGAGGCCCTTGCTGAGGCCAGTGGGCAGCGAGTCAGTTTGTGGCTGGAGTCTGCCACAGTCCGAGTCTGGGTCTCACCTGGAAATGGGGTGGGGAATCCAACCCCTGACCTACCGTTACAAATGAGCTGTAAAGATCTCATGATTCGGGGGGGCGTCTGAGTCATGGGTTCTGGGCTGGGGAGGGGGATGATGCTGCAACTGGTGGGTCGGCGGGGGGCAGGGCAACCTGGGTCTGCAGGGTTTGGGGGGGAGGGGAGTGAGGGGGCCGACGGGGGCGGGGGGGATGAATGGCTCTTTCAGAAACTTCAAGGGCTAGTTTGCAGACTGGGCAGGTCGCAGAACCTGGCACCAGGAGGGTTTTACCCCAGCTCACCCCTTCCAGGAGGAGGAGGGAGGCAGCCCAGCCAGGAGGCTGCAGGTCGGGAGTGAGGGGCACTGGCAGAGCTGTAAGGGGGGGGGGAGCTCAGATCTGCCGTAGTTGGGGGCTACAGATCAAATCCCATGAATATCGGCTGGGCAGCTCTGTCTGCTGGGGCCCACGCTCGGGGCCTGTCCCCACGAGGCACTGGGCACAAGGGGTGCGGCCCAGAGCAGGCCCGTAGAGCTGTTGTGATTTATTCAGTTCTGCCGGGCCTGGCGTAGGGGGTTGGTGGAAGCAGGTGTGACTGTGACACAATAGGGACCCACTGGTTTCCCCCCAAGCCCTCCCACCCCCGGCATTCCCGGCTCCATCCCCATGCACCAAGACGAGGTGCCGCAGCCCCAATCCCAGCCCCCCCGCCCCCCAGTCCTGATTTCTCTGCTCCTTGTAACAATCCCGTCAGCAGTGGCTCCCTGCAGGGCAGGCGTGGAATGGATCGGCTGTGGCGCTTTGCTCCGGCTGGGGGCATGGCTCTGTCATTCTGCCAGTGGCGCTGAGCATGACGCTTCCTGAATGCCCTCCCGCCCCACTCAGGGTGTGTCTCACCCCACCCCATGGTCCCTCTGCAACGGCTTCCCCATGCACATGGGCCGTGCTCTGGGCTGGGGCCACCTGACACACCTGGGTCAAGTTTGCAGTGGAGCCTAGTTCCTATTTTGGTGCCTAAATCTAGGAGCCGGAGCAAAGACTCTGGCCCCTGTGCAGCCCCCAGCACGGCGGGACTGGGCACGCTAGGCAGGCCACGGCCCGGGAAATCTGCCACTGCCCTGGCCCCAAGGGAGCGTAAGGCAAGGGGCAGCTAGTGCCAAGGGACTGTGAGACCAGAGCTGCTCACTACTGCCCCCTGCTGGCCAGCCTTTGTCACTGCTCCCTCTGCATGCCGCTCGCCTGTGCCCCCAGGGCACGTGCTGCTCAGCAGGAGACCGGGCAGTGGGTTTGAGCCCACAGGGTTTTCGGGGCGGGAAATCCAGGGATCCCCCAAAATCACACACCAGGCTGCCACGTAACCCCCTGGCGCTGCCCAATGGGCTGATCCTCACGGTTCCCATTGCACAGGGCGCCGGCTGGCTGGGCACTCGCTGCACCGCACCGGCCGCTGCCCTGCCGAGATCCCGCTCAGGGTTTAGCTTCCCGGGGCCATTTCACCCTGAAGGAGCAGAAACTCTCCTGGCCGGGACCCTGAGTCCCAGGTTCGCACCCAGACCCATAGCATTTCAACCCATTCCACCCCCTGGCTCGTCCCAATTTGCCTGACTCCCCCCGAGCGACCTGCACTGGGTTCCAGGCTCCAAACTCGCCTGGGACACCTGAGAGAACCAGAACCAGCCTGGGGGGCTGCATGGACTCCTGCCATCCTGTCCCAGGCCCTCCTGGGTTCACAGCCCCACGCTCTGCGCTGCACTCTGCCCCCGGCCTGCTCCCCCTCCACCCATGTGCACGGCAGCTGTGGCCGGGGCAGACTTGCCTGGACCGCCAGGGCTAGGTCACTCTTGCACCCGCCAGTCCTGATCTACCCTGGCCCAGCAAGAGGAGGATGGTGCCCGCGGAGCCACTGCCCGCTCCACGGTCCCAGGTCAGAACCGAACCACGGATCTGCTGCAGTCAGTGCTCTTGAGTTGTCACCTGAGCTGGCTTTAAACCTGTCTTCTCCAGCCCCGCAGCCTCAGCCTCTTCTCTGGGCCAGGAGCAGGCGTGTTAAACGCCAGCAGCTCCATCTCCCGGGACCCCAGCACCATGGGCTCGTTAGCAGGGGAGGGCTCTTCCCCACCAAACCATGTATCCCTGGCCTCTTGCAGAGACTCCGCCTACTGCCAGGTGCGGAATGAGTGACAGTACACCCAGCCAATGGAACGCCATCACAGCAGACTCCCATTGGGTGACCCATTAGTCCTGGGCAGAGCCAGCCCGGGGGCCAGGTGGGTAGTGTTTGATGGGGCCGGGTGTGAGGGGAGGAGCGATAGGGCCATAGTGCCCAGGGACAGGCCGGGTGTCCCAGCAGCCCCCACCCTTCTGCTAGGACAGATTGGCTGCAGGATGTCAGAGCCAGGGAGAGAACCCAGGAGTCCTGGCCCCACACCTCTGAATGCCTGGGGAACCAGAGAGCACCTCACTCAGGGCAGGGCAGCTGGTGCCTGTCTGTGGGCGAGGGAGTTCCTAGACATGGGCAACGCGCCCCGGCCCCCATGGAGCAACCTGAGACCCCTGGCCAGGCACTGCCAGAGCCCAGGGGACAGTCAGGGCTGGGGGAGGGGCCACAGAACCAGGGGAGCAGCTAGCTGGATAGGAAACCAGCACCATCTGCCCAGGATGGGGGGGCCAGGGCTGGGCTAGCAGGGGGCTGCAGGTCGGGCGTGAGGGGCACCAGCAGAACTGGGAGGAGCCCAGGGCTGGGCTAGCAGGGGGCTGCAGGTCGGGCATGAGGCGCACTGGCAGAGCTGGGGGGGCAGCTCATGGTGGAGTAACCGGGGCCTTCACTCCCTGGCTCCCAGCCCCTCCTGGCTGCAGCCTCCAGCTGGGCTGGGCCAGGCGGCTCCCTGTGGGGCTGGTTCAGCCCAGGTGCCCAGGCACCTCTGAATTCCAGCGGTGCTCTTCATTCCGCCCTCCCCCCCCGTCATGCTGCCCCTGCCCCCGCGGCTCAGCTACGCTCTGGTGAGCACTCAAGGGCTCTCCAACCGGGGAGGGGCCCCAGTGCCTGGCTCTGGCCCAGTGGGGGCAGAGGCGGGCGAGGGGGATTCTGTATCCATCCGGCACCCATCACCGGGGCATTGCGGCAGTGGTAGGGCCCATCACCCATCAGTGCGACGTCCTGACCAGCCCCAGCTGCAGGATTGGGCTCGGGGTGATGGGGTAGTGCAGGGCTTTGCCAAGGCAGGCCCATGGGTTTGGCTGTCCCCTCTCTCCTCCTCCGCCCCACTGCTCCCCATGATGTGGGGCACACTGCCCAGGCGGGGAACAGCCCCATCCCCATGCAGCCTGGGCACGGTTCCATGGCTCGCTCTGGTTTATTGCTCTGGCGGCTTCCAGTCTCTGAGAACAGGAATCAGGAGCCGGTGGGGGGGTGCGGCGCCCTGGGTGGGCCCAGAGCCCAGCTCAGCCGGCAGGATGTACCGTCCTGCGTCAGGTGTCCCCCAGCCCAGCCCAGGTCCATCAAGGCAGCGCTGCCTCCTGGGGGGGACACATGGGCAGGGCCCGGTGCCCCTCCCATTCCAAGTGCAGGGAGGGCTCAGAGTCCTGGGCTGGGACCCCCTGGGGGGGGGCACCCACTCCTGGTGCCTCCATCGCCCCCCCATTGCTGAGACGCTGGCGCCACCTGGGGGCTCCGTGCTGTCGGTGCCGTCGTGCATGAGCCTCAGGTTCCAGTCTGGGCGATGGCTCGTACCTTGTGCTGGGGCGAGTGCCCGGGGGGCATCCCTGGGCGCCCCGCGGGGAGGGGGGGTCACAGCAGCTGCTTGTTGCGCTTGGGGATGATCTTGCGGACCGTCCTGCGCTCGGAGATGTTGCGTTTGACCTTCACGCCGGCGGGCGGCAGGTCCAGGTTGAGCGAGGGGCTGGAGTGCGACTTGGTGAGGCCGGGCCCCTCATCGGCTGAGTCGGTGCCCCCGAGCCGTGCCTCCCACTGCTCCAGCGCCTCGGAGCCCCCGCACAGCCGCGCCTCCAGCAGCTTCACGTAGGTCTCGTAGCGGCGCTTCTGCAAGGGTGAGCGCAGCATGAGCCCCGGCCGCGGCCAGCTCTGGGGGTCAACGCACCAGGAGGGGGAACGGCCGCACCTGGGATGCCCTGTGATCTTCCCTTTAGTGTTAGGTCCCCTCCCTTCTCCCTGCAGCCCAGCGTCCCCTGCTGAGCCCCTGCCCCTGGCAGCCCGGCACCCCCTGCTGAACCCCCTCCCCCGGCAGCACAGCACCCCCTGCTGAGCCCCCTCCCCCGGCAGCACAGCACCCCCTGCTGAGCCCCCTCCCCCCTACAGCCCAGCGCCCCCTGCTGAGCTCCCGCCCCCTCCCCCCGGCAGCACAGCG